ATATTGTAAATTGTGCTTTAAAAATAAGTTCCACAGGGTTTCTTGATGGTTCTTCCCAGGACAAAGGCTTTTTTCCGAATCAGTGGTAAAAGTAAAATATAACTTTCAATAAGTATTACATATAATCTATATTGAATAAAAAAATATTCTATTATATTCTATGATATTTACAGATATTTATTTATTTATTTATTCTTTTTTGTACACCACAATACAGAAACATCAATATAGTTAAAACTAATTAAAGTATGTACAATAGGCGGTCTTATCACTGAAAGTGATTTCTTCCAGACAACCTTTGCATAGAGGAATGATGCAAACAAAAGTTAAAAATAGAGGGGGGCATACAAAATAATAATAAAAATATATAATAATATAATAATACATACAAATAAAAATGAATGTATGAAGGAATGCTTCGGTGGTTTGGTCATGTAGAAAGAATGAATCAGGAAAGAGTGACAAAGCAAATTTATATGGCAGATGTAAACGGCAGAGTCGGGAAGGGACGCCCTAGAAAAAAGTTTATCGACCAAATTGGCGATATTTTGAAAATGGGCCACGTTAAAAGTACCCTTAACCGACGAGCATGTATGCGTAGATATATGGATGTAAAGGAGGCGAAAGAGGTATGTCAGGATCGTGTCAAATGAAAGTCCGTGGTCTCTGCCTACCCCTCTGGGTGACAGGCGTGAGTGTTTATGTATGTACAAATAAAAATAAGTGAAAGTTATATATAAGATATCATATAATAGATTAAATGAAAAGAGTACGAGAAAGGTAAAGTAATTTATCTAATAGCGTTCTAAATAATACGATTTAATAAGACTTTTGAAAGTGGGAAGAGATTTAGCACGACGAATATGGAGAGGTAAGGAGTTCTACAATCGCACAGCGGTTACGGTGAAGGAATTCTTGAAAAAGGAAGAAGAGTGCAAAGGTGTAGAGAGAGAAAGATTGACGGAGGATCGAAAGAACCGATTATGGGTAAGAGAAAGATACTGGAAACGGTTTTTTTAAATAAAAAGGAGTAGAAGGATTAAACAGCACACTATACAACGCGGAGAGAATGTGAGTATTCCTGCGAAGGCGGATCGGGAGCCATTTGAGCTGTTTGCGAAATTCGAAGATATGATCATATTTGCGAAGCCCAAATATAAATCTAATGCATAAATTTTGAATGCGCTCAAGCTTATTAAGCTGCTCCTCGGTAATGTCAAGATAGCAAATATCAGCATAGTCAAGGATAGGCAGAAGTAGAGACTGGGCGAGCGTAACTTTAGTTGCTGTGGGAAGGAAATTACGTAATCTACGTAAAGAGCTTAACGCAGCAAACATTTTTCTACTGACCTCATTAACCTGTGAGGTCCAAGACGTACAGGAGTCAAGATACAACCCCAGGTTTTTAACCTTGTTACTGTAAGGGATTAGAGTGCAGTCTAGTATAATAGGGGGTAGGGAAGACCAGTCAATTTTACCAATTAATCTAGAACTATCGATGACAATGGCCTGAGTTTTCTTAGGATTAATCGTTAAACCATAACATTTACTCCAATTCGAAATACAAGTCAGATCAGCGTTAATAGTGTCAACTGCTTTAGATAGATCTTCAAGAGAGGACTGAGTATAGATTTGGAGATCATCAGCATACAAGTGGTAGGAAGAGAACAAATTATGACTTATAGAGTTTTTGCAAAAATTGCAAAAAGGAGAGGAGACAACACGCCACCTTGTGGTACACCAGCAGCTGTAGTAGTCCAGGTGGAAAAAACCTCTTGCACCTGAATTCGCTGTCGGCGACCAAACAAGTAATTTCGAAACCAGTCAACTACAGTTGGAGATATGTTGAGAGAGCGTAGGATGCTTAACAAGATATCAAAATCTACAGTATTAAATGGGTTACTAAAATCAAGCAACGTGAGAATGGTAAGCTTTTGTTTCTCCATACCATACCGAATATCATCAGTGATTTGTAAAAGTGCAGTAGTCGTATGCCCAGGACGGAAACCGGATTGCAAGGGATTTAAAAGATTGTGTTTTAAAAGATAAGTGCTTAATTGATTGTGCACAAGTCGTTCTAGAACTTTGGAAAAGAAAGGCAAAATAGAGATAGGTCTATAATCAGAAAAACTAGAGGGATTTGACTTTTTCGGAAGAGGAACTACAAATTCGTCTTTCCAAGCGGAAGGGAAAAAGAAGGGAAGAATTCAGTGAATTATTCAGGATAGAGGTGATTATAGGTAAAAGGAGATCAATGAGAGGGATGACCATTTTCCGACTAATGCAGTCACTACCAATCGAATTTGAATGGATGAACATTATGGCTCTCTTAACATCACAACTGTTAAATTGGCTAAAATTAAAAGCAGAGGTGTCCGGAGTGGGAGCTTTTGAAAGAGAATACAAAGTATTATGTTTTGCTTTATCGTTAATGCAAGACGAAGATGAGAAATGCAAATTAATTTGATTGAGATCAAAGTTATGGTGTGTGAGATTTTGTCGGAGATTATTAAGAAATTTCCAGACTCTAGCAGGGTCAGGATCTTGTACTGATTCATGGATATGGGCGTCGTTGTGCTTTTCTACACAGATTGTTGCAACGATTCCGTACTAATCTATACTTCTCTCTATTCAAATCGCTAGGAAGTGACTTGTATATTTACCTTTGGCACAATTTTTAATGTGGTTGATTTTTTTTATATCATCGGTCAGCCAAGGAGAGGGATGCTTTACACGCACTGGACGAACAGGAGCACGAACGTCGTAAAGCTGAATTAACAGAGAGTTGAACAAAGCAACCTGTTCATCAACAGTAGACGCATTGACGACTACACTCCAATCAATCTTTACAGCGTCATTTAAAAGCTGCTCCAAATCCAAGTCACTAAAGTTACGCTGAAGTAGTATCCTTGACTTAGCTTTAGGGGTACGGATTTTGTATGATGATGACAAGTATAAAAGTTCGTGATAGGAAAAACAATCAGCAGCATGTTGCCCAAATTTAAGAACATGCCTGACCATGTTCATGTAAAGACACAAATATTATGTCGAGAAGAGAAGGGGCATAGTTCGGGAAAAAGTGTGTGGCAGAAGTAGGATGAAGTTTTAAATTTGCTGCTTCAATAATAGATTTAAGTTTTATTGATCTAGCGTTGTTTTTTAAAAGACAAGTATTAAAATCACCCATAATAATACTGTGACAATAGATAGGTGTAAGATTGTCAAGAATATTTTCTAACGTGGTGAAGTAGTCGACAGTGAGAGAGGGACTGTAAAAGACTCCGAGAAGTAATTTTGTGTGACGAAGAAGAACTTCGATAAAGAGAAATTCAGCTTCGCTTCCAGTCTGCGAACCATTTGAAACTTGAATTACTGAAAAGGGTATATGAGAGCGCAGATAAATAGCAACACCACCACCGCCCCGATCGGTACGGTCGTTACGAATCAAATGAAAACCTGGAAGCGAGTAGGAAGTTGATGGAAGACATGGTTTTAACAACGACTCCGAAACAAGGATAGCGTGGATGTTTTTGCTATTAAAACTTGACAACATGTCGGGGTAATGAGCAGGAATACTTTGAGAATTTATGTGAATAGCGTTAAAGTTTTTGTTAAATTCAGAAAAAGTTGAATCTAACATAATATTTAAGGGTGCAATACTTTCAAAGCTGTCAATACTGCTTAATCCATCAGAGGCAGAATCAAAGGCGAAGGAATTGGAACTCCGAACACTATCATCTGAAGAAATCATATTAAATTATATCTGATTACTATTACTTAAATATATGTAAAACTAAGTATATATCTATTATTATATGTATGTATTATAATATGTATAATTATAAAATAAATAATTCAAAAATAAATAAGTCATTAGTAAACTACCTGCCAGCATTATGGAAAGAAATGTTTAATTCACTTAACAATAAGTGAAGAAACGGAACGTTAACATATCATAGACACAAAAGTGAGAGGTGTTAATGTCAGATGAGTCAAAGTGTCAAAGTTACAGTACGTTAACTAGCAATTATCTACCTTACAATATACTTTTATAGTGATAATACTAAACATTCCAAAGAAAGATTACAATAACAATTACCAACATACAGTACACGTAATTAATGGAAAGCAGGTAAAAGTAAATAAGTTGGTTCATTTTAATTTTTATGTGGATTATAATTAATAATTACAAACTGTTAAACATTCTATTACGGCAATAATATATACGGAAATTACGACGCATCTTCTCGTCAGGTATACCTAAAAACCTGAAAACTAAGTTGTACAACCAGTGCGTGTTGCCAGTGACGACTTACGGATCTGAGACGTGGTCCTTCACTGCTGGCCGTATGAGGACGCTCAAGGTCGCTCAGCGAGCTATGGAGAGGGCTATGCTCGGAGTTTCTCTGCGTGATAGACTCAGAAATGAGGATATCCGCAGTAAAACCAGAGTTACACACATAGCCCAACGGATTAGTAAGCCGAAGTGGCAATGGGCCGGCCATATAGCTCGAAGAACCGACAACCGATGGGGAAGAAAGGTTCTCGAGTGGCAGCCTCGTACCGGTAGGCGAAGTGTAGGGCGACCCCCCACTAGATAGAGTGACGACTTGGTAAGACATGCAGGAAGTGGATGAATGCAGGTGACTCTGGACCGTGCTTTGTGGCATACCTTGGGGGAGGCCTATGTTCAGCAGTGGACTTGTGAAGGGCTGTGATGATGATGATGATAATGAAGCATTCTATCTCAGCTGGTCTTTCTTTGAAGTCGGTGAAAGATATCGAATGTGTCGCCCTTAGAGACTAAACACCCTTATCGTCCCGCGGGTGTCGCAAGAGGCGGCAGGAGAAAATGAAACAAGAGATGGGCAGCAGCACCTTCGTGATAATACAAAATTATAAGAAACTGCAGTTGTTACCCGCCTGCAAATCGAGACAACTGCGGTGTGCGTGTGTGTACGTGTACGTGTACGTGCACGTGCGCGTGTGCGTATGCGTACCTGCGTATCTCCATCTCCTCCTGCGGGCGGCGGCTCGTGTTGTCAGGGAACACGAGCTCGGCCTCGTCCACGTGCGCGACCAGCCCGTTCAGGTAGTCGCGGAACTTCTTGAGCGCCGCGTAGAACGGCACCTTGTCCGCGGCACGGGGAAGTTGCGCGCACCGCGCAGACGATGACGGCATCACCCACGTGTACTGGACACCAAATACAAAAACAAATAGTCACAAGAAATGTTCTATTTGTGATTTTTACAGTGAAACCCGATAACCGATTTTGGCCCGCCCCGGGATCCGGACCTGGAAGCCCACCATCAGCAATCGTGTTCGCGACCACTACACCAATGAGGCAATCAACTTACGTTACAAAACAGAAATACAGAAGGATCACTCCGCAAAAAACAAAATTAAATAAATAGTGACTCTTACAATGACTCAATAAGGTGAAATTATGCTTGCACAACGCTAAATGCTCAAAAATGTATGTAGTACGTGGTAGTGGAATGCTGCAACTTTATTATGATAATAGTACAAATGAATCGGGGTAAGACCACGCTATCACCAAATAACAGCATAAAATATGCTGCTGTATTTTGTATGGTGAGTGGAAAACCGGAGACCCTTTTTAGTTTACAGGAAATGAGACATTCCATCTTTGTCCTCAAGGGTGAACGAATCTGCATTTAATTATTAATCAAGAAAGATATGTGATAGATATTTGGTATGTACCTACCACATATCTATCACATATCTTATCACCTCTGGCCCACGGCATCCAATAAGCATCACGTGGACTGTGTGCTCGTTTGTCACCTTTATTTTATAAAAAAAACCTACAAGGAGCCTCTAATTCAATCGCGTTACTCTAACTCTTCTATCTCGGTACAAGTGACTTTAGAGTTGTATTCTTCTGACGAATAATTCTTACGACGCCAAAAAAGTGCAGAATAACCTAAGCTCATACGAGGCGCGTGAGTAGTGTGGGGTTTACGTGCAATCGTCGGTAAGTCACTGAATAATATGAAGCTACACGTACATGCTCAAAACTTCTTACGCGTAATTGTAAAAGTTGCTATACAAGAGGGCTAGAACGCCAAGAATGTTTCTGTAAACATGCCTGTGCCAATATAAAATACAATTCGGTGTTTTTTATTGACAATTTGTGAATAAATATAATATAATATGATAAATAACATCACTCAATCTCGTTACGTAATATCAAGGCGGTGCCTGTGGTGCCCAGGCCTAGGGCGCGTATCCTAGAGGAGCGCAGAAATGACCCGAACAGCGCCTAAGTTTTGGGTCATGCATAAAGTGACCATTTATTTTTTCCTCAGAGCGGGACACCTTTAAAATTATTATAGTTTTAACACTTTTGACTGTCTTCTTGGTCTAACGGTTGTGAACGCAATTGTTGATCATGTGGTGTCGGGTTCAAAACCCGAGTCGGGCCATGAATCATTTATTGGATTTTTCTGTCACAAAATTCACAGTAGCAGCCCGGAATATTGATTTTGAACTTATTGAAGTTGGCGGGTTTCACCACCGTGCCTCCGGTAGCACGTAAAACCGTTGGTCCTGTGCCTGATCTCTCTCCCGTCGTCTTGGATTTGGTCGTTTTCTGAATAATCACGTAACTAGTCAGGTTTTGTTGGCAAACCTGGTACGCGCGGTGGCATAATGGTGGCACGGGTGATAGAGTTTGCATGATGCTACGCTTTTGTTTGTCAAAGCGGGATATTTTTACGTATTGTAGGGACAGCGGGACATAAACTATTAAATCGGGATTGTTCCGCCTAAAGTGGAACGTATGGTCGATATGAGGGAACTCGTATGTAACAGATATACTTTGACAAAGTGACGGCGCCGTGGCGCACTGGCTTGGCAATGAATGGCTGCGCCGGGGGCCGCGGGTTCGAATCCCGCACGGAACAAGTATTTGTATGGCTTACAAATAATTGTTTCGGGTCTGGATGTTTGTCCTTGTGCAATTTATGTTTGTAAACTGCCTCCACGATACAGGAGAAAATTATAGTGTGGGGGTAACGTTATAAGAAATACTTAAGTAAGAACACTTGAGTGTATTTGGGCTGCCTAGTTTATTTTTATGTTGAAAAGTTCCGGAGCTGTATTCCACACCGCCGCCGCCCGCCGACTACGCGTGCGCACCGATCTGCATGTCTTATATAGCCCGGTCCAGCGACGTAGCTTCGTGAACAACAAACAAGTCTCACGCCGGGAAACGAAACGTAGATAATTGTATATTTTAAATAGTTTTCATTGGTCATAAAATAAGCAATATAATTGGCTAGGCAAAATATTAATTGTTACCATTGGCAAATCAATAGTGAGCCAGCCATATAAATATAGGCAAGGTTGATGCAAAAGATATTCCATTCTGAATCCCATTCGACAGTACATTCATAAACATAAGCAGTAGTTTCATTTCTCCACCTTAAAGAAAACCACTCGGAGTCTGTTAATAGTGGACAGTTCTTCTCCACTATTACAGTGGTGACCCGTACGAACACCGAGAAGGAAGACTTCAGTTTATATAAAATCAGTGTAATCAAGCCGTCATTATGGAGCAGGAGGCAAACACATATACATCAAACCCGGTAAAGGAACCAGAAATCGCCAGTATATCTCTATCGTTAAGAATACCACCGTTTTGGAGAGACAAACCACGACTTTGGTTCGTCAGTTTTGAAGCCGCAACGAATGGTTTAAAGAAGAGCCAAGCGCAATTAGCACAGATGGTGATAGCCCAACTTGAGAAACAAGACATCGAACAAATTGCGGACCTGTTGTACAACCCACCAGCAGTCGACCAGTATAATTCACTGAAGGATCGTCTGATCTCCGCATATGAAGAATCCGACAGTCGACAGCTACAAAAACTTCTATCAGAAATAGAACTTGGAGACCAGAAACCCACACAACTCCTACGCAAAATGCGTACTTTGGCGCGAGATAAAGTTCCGGATTCAACACTACGGCTAATGTGGGTAAACCACCTACCACCACATATTCGATCGGTAATAGCAGTCAGCGAAACATTCAGCACGCAGACGAAGCTCGACGAACTGGCACTCCTGGCGGACAAGATGATCGAAAACAGCAGTAGCTCACACATATCGATCATCGAAGGCACTTCAACAAAGGCCAATGATACCCAGTTTCTTCTCGAAGAGATTCGGAAGCTATCATTCGAAGTCGCCGCGCTCAAAGCTTCCCAGCATCATACCTTTTACCAGCAACAGTACAACCAGCGCAATCAGCAACACCGAAGATCACCTTATCGTCGCAACCGCTCTGCAAGTAGAAGTCGAATAAGCTCAACATCAAGATCCCCTTACTGCTACTATCATCGACGTTTCGGGGTCGAGGCAAGAAAATGCACAGCACCGTGTACATTCAAAAATGAAAATACGAATACGGAAAACTAACTAGTACGCTCGATGCGACGGGATCCAGCGTAACAGCAAAGTCCTACCGTCTTTTCGTCACCGATAAAAAAAGCAAGCTTACTTTCCTTATCGATACCGGAGCAAATATCTCAGTGTTACCGCCGAAGCAAGGACAGAAGTTGAAGCCACTAGATTTTCAACTCTATGCAGCAAACAATACGGTTATTCCTACATATGGAGAAAAAACAATGGAACTTGATTTTAATCTACGCCGACCATTCAAATGGAGATTTATCGTCGCTAAAGTCAGCAAACCAATCATCGGTGCTGATTTTCTTCAACATCACCAGTTGGTCGTCGACATCAAAAATAGAAGAATCATCGACGGGAAAACCAATCTTGCATCTCAGTCTTTTGTACAAGCAACCAATCTGCCCACAATAAGAAGCATAGATGTGCAACAACCGTATCACAAGATCCTCGAAGAATACCCTGGTATCACAAGAATAACTTCAATGAAATTAACACCGAAGAACGACGTTGAGCATTTCATCGACACCAATGGACCACCACTTCATTGTCGTGCACGTCCAATCGCACCACACCTATACGAGCAAGTTCGAAAGGAATTCGAAAACATGATTGAGCAAGGAATATGCCGTCCAAGCAAAAGCCCTTGGTCATCACCACTTCACATTGTACCGAAGAAGAACGGAGAATTACGAGTTTGTGGAGATTACAGAAGACTGAATTCTATTACCACTCCTGACCGCTACCCAATACCGCGAGTCAGGGATTTCACTCATCAACTATCAGACAAGACTATATTCTCCACCATCGATCTCAACCGAGCTTACCAACAATTAAGAGTCCGCGATGAAGACATAGAGAAGACAGCAATAATTACCCCAATGGGATTATTCGAATTCCCAAGAATGATCCCAGGATTAAAGAACGGAGGTCAAACTTTCCAAAGATTCATACACGAAGTACTTCATGGACTGGATTTCGTTTTCGCATTTATTGATGATCTCCTTGTTGCAAGCCCTGATAAAGAAACGCACGAAACCCATCTACGCACCGTGCTACAGCGATTAGAAGACAACGGAATCACAATCAACCCTTCGAAATGCATATTTGGACAGCAAGAAGTTCAATTTCTTGGTTTCACCGTCAGCAAGGAAGGAATAAAACCGCCTGCCGAAAAAGTCAGAGCAATCATCGATTATGCAAAACCTAAAACTATCGAAGAGCTAAGGCGTTTTCTTGGGATGATAAATTTTTACAGAGAACACATACCTAAAGCCGCTGAAATCCAAGCACCACTTCACGCCTACCTTCACAACACGAAGAAAAAAGATAAAACGTCAATCGAATGGAACGATGAAGCCACGAAGGCATTTGAAGCTTGTAAAATTGCGATCCAAAATGCAGCTTTACTCGCTCACCCATCACACGAAGCAACCCTTGCTATCTTCAGCGACGCATCCGATCTCTCAGCAGGAGCAGTTCTCCAACAATACAGCAATGGGAAATGGCAACCACTTGGATATTTTTCGAAGAAGTTCTCCGATACTCAACGTAACTACAGTACATTCGACCGAGAGCTACTCGCTATTTACATGGCTATCAAGCACTTCAGAAAAACGTTCGAGGGTCGAAACCTGATCGTTTTTACCGACCACAAGCCATTAACATATGTACTTCCAAAGAAACCATCACTATCGGAAACACCACGAAGAGCAAGACAACTTATTTTCATAAGTGAATTCACGACCGACATACGTCACATCAGTGGAAAGGACAACATAGTTGCCGACGCACTCAGTCGCGTACCAATCGACAGTGTAACGTGCCCTACATCAATCGACTATCATAAGATCGCCGCAGCACAAGACAGAGATAGTGACAACATAAAACATCTAGCGAAGCAAGGTAACTTGTCCATCAAGCAAGTTACAATGCCAATGACGCATCTACCTATATACTGTGAAGCCTCAACGACAACCATGCGACCATACATACCAGAAGAATGTCGTCGCGAAGTCTTCAATACACTGCACAACATTAGTCATCCAGGTGTTAGAACAACAAGAAAACTCATCACTGAAAAATTCTTTTGGCCTGCAATGCAAGCGGATGTTGGCAACTGGGCGAAGCAATGCATTCAATGCCAAAAATGCAAAGTACAAAGGCATACATCAAGTAGTCTAGCTACATTTCCACCCACGGAGAGATTCGAACACTTGCACGTTGACATCGTTGGACCATTACCTACTTCACCGCAAGGACATCGTTATCTCGTAACAATGATCGACAGAACAACAAGATGGCCAGAAGCAATACCTACCGATGATACTTCAGCCGAATCCGTCGCGAAGATAATTTATGAAAACTGGATTACTCGTTTCGGATCACCTAAAACCATCACAACGGATCAAGGAAGGAATTTCGAAAGCAACCTATTCCTCAAACTTCTTCAAACTATGGGAATACAGAAGACGCGTACAACAGCATACCATCCTCAGTCAAACGGAATAATCGAACGATGGCATCGTACATTAAAGACTGCACTCAAAACTCGTTTATCTCAACATACAAAGTGGATTGATGAGCTACCTACAGTGCTACTCGGACTACGAGCAACACCGCGTGCAGACACTAGTCTTAGCGCCGCTCAGCTAACCTACGGCTGCAGCATAAGGCTGCCGTGTGACTTCTTCAGTTCAGCAGCGTCAAACAAACAAGAAATGGATTACGATTTCGTAACTAAACTTCGAGAATCAATTAATAAAGCCTTATCGTTGAAATGCACCGAAATGCAATCACACAGAAATAATAAATCAGTATTCATTCACCAAGATTTGAAAACATGCAAACAAGTTTTTGTAAGAAACGACGCAATGAAAAAACAATTTCAACCTACCTACGATGGACCGTATAAAGTATTAGAGAGAAATAGCAAGACTTTTAAACTACAAATACCCGGAAGGAAATCTACGATTATATCGATCGACCGACTAAAGCCTGCCTATATTATTAACGAGGATACTGCAGAGGATTCATCATCATCATCAAAACCACCAGCGAGGAAGCTTGAAACTTCATCATCTACATCAACCCAGTTGAAACCTATTTTAAAAACTACGAAATACGGGCGAGTCGTCAAGCCTCCGGTACGCTTTCGCTGGGGGAGAGTGATGTAGCAGCCAGATTAATCAAACCGAAACGGGAATAAATAATATATACTCCGCTGCTACCATAACGCGGAAGGCGAGAATAAATAAAAAAAAACATTTTATTTCCTAATTATTCTTGGCTACTGAGATACTGCGGACTGTATATAGATAATTTGACGTTCTTATAAAGAAACAAGAAGCAGCCGCAAATATCATTCAGCGCCACACCGACTTCACACGCCGCTATCGTCACGTATCCGTCGACCAATGGTGAGCCGTTTCTTCAACGCCGCAGTTCGTTTCCTCTTGCTGTTCCGGAGCTGTATTCCACACCGCCGCCGCCCGCCGACTACGCGTGCGCACCGATCTGCATGTCTTATATAGCCCGGTCCAGCGACGTAGCTTCGTGAACAACAAACAAGTCTCACGCCGGGAAACGAAACGTAGATAATTGTATATTTTAAATAGTTTTCATTGGTCATAAAATAAGCAATATAATTGGCTAGGCAAAATATTAATTGTTACCATTGGCAAATCAATAGTGAGCCAGCCATATAAATATAGGCAAGGTTGATGCAAAAGATATTCCATTCCGAATCCCATTCGACAGTACATTCATAAACATAAGCAGTAGTTTCATTTCTCCACCTTAAAGAAAACCACTCGGAGTCTGTTAATAGTGGACAGTTCATCTCCACTATTACAACTTCATCATTATTTTATTTGGACGTCATCTTCCAAGATGCTTGGAATAAAATTTTATAAAAAATAAATATTTGTTGCTACTTATTAGTTAACAAGAAGCGCATTGGACGATAGTGTCCAAATAAAATAATGATGAAACACAGACTGCAGACTTCCCCTTCCCTTGAACACGTACAGGATCGCCCCCGTCACTACATCAGATATGATAGACCGCAGATCCTCGCTAAAGAACACCGATTCCTTCCAAGGATGATTCGCGAGGCTATTGCAATCAAAAAACATCCTAATTTCAATAGAGAAGATGGCTGGGTGCTACCATCTGCTTGGGATCCTATAATAAATAAAATTAAATCCCAACCCAAGCATACAACTGCAAGACTTCAAGATACCATAAGTTCATACTGCATAGATCGGAACAAAAGTTAAATTTTAATCTATGGTAACCGCGGTTAACTAAGACATATGGACGTTGAACATCTCAGTCCCGCCCGTGACCATGAGTGCTGTAAAGCGTTCGAAACGTCGGGTATTTAAAAAGTTAAATATACGCGACAAATTCCGTAAAAACTAGTATTATTTCAATGTGTAGTGTTCGCGTAAATATAAGAAATCATTACAGCAGTATGCTACTATTCACGTTGGTATTCTGTGCAAGCCAACGTGCAAACCGCAGTATATATAAAGGTTGCCTGTTGGCACATTACTGAAAAGGCTTGTATCTAGTTGCGAACTAAAAAGAGCTGACTCACAGTGTTGGTGCCGGCAATGGTGTCGGGCTGCTTGCCGAAGCAAAAGTCCTTCTTGCCGGAGAACACCTCGTAGATGAGCTTCCCGTTGAAGACCGCCACCTTGGGGCGGAAGGTCTGCAGCTTCTCGAGCAGCAGCGCTGAGCCCTCCTTGATCTCGCGCCGCGTCAAGTCCGCCGAGCCCTTGGTGGCGCGCGACACCATGTTCGTGAACCCGATGCCGAAGTTCAGCAGCTGGAACCAAACACAACCCGCCACATTAACATTACTAATTTGCATTGGGTGTCGTAAGAGGCGACGGAGAGAAACAAATCAGGCGAAAGGCAGCAGCATCTTGCTTATAACGATTCATTATACAAGATTTACTACTACAACAATGATGGTTCTCTATATGAATGGTTGGACTGCCTCGTTGGTCTAGTAGCTGTAGTAGTGCGACTGCTGATCATGAGGTCTGGGGTTCGAATCCCGGGTCGGGGCAAAGAATCAATTATTGAGTTTTTATGTCACAAATTCTCAGTAGCTGCCCGGAGTCGGGATGTCGGCGGTATCTCACCGCCGTGCCTCGGAAAGCACGTAAAGCCGTTGGTCCTGCGCTTGATCACTATCCGGTCGTGTCGGTTTACAGTCCCATCGGATTATGAGAGTGAGGGAATAGAGAGTGCACCTGTGCTTGCGCATACACTTGGGCACTATAATTCTGTCCTGCACCGATGGTTAGCCTCCGTTGAGGCAGGCCGCAGTGGCCGAAATTCGGTCTGGAGGACATAAGAATTAGTATTATTATTATATGAATAGTCAGTCGGTAAGACCTTCAGTCTTACCGACTGACTACATATTTTTTGATTGATTACGACTGAAGTTCGCCCTGTATGATATTCTTCCCTAAACATCTCTCGTCCCGCTCTTTCTACTTGTTTACTGTCCCTTGTATTTTCCTTATTTGTTTGTATTTCATGTGATTTCATCTATACTAATAATAATAAGTTGTAACATAATACTAATTATTGTTAACATAACATAACATAAACACTCACGCCTGTCACCCAGAGGGGTAGGCAGAGACTACAGACTTCCATTTAGCACGATCCTGACATACCTTTCTCGCCTCTTCCACATCCATATACCTACGCATACATGCTCGTCGGTTAAGGGTACTCTTAATTTGGCCCATTTTTAGTATATCGCCAATTTGGTCGACAAACTTCCGCCTAGGACGTCCCTTTCCAACTCTTCCATTCACTTCTGCAACATATATTTGCTTTGTCAGTCTTTCCGCATTCATTCTTTCTACATGACCAAACCACCGAAGCATTCCTTTCTTAATCCTGGTCACCGCATCATCTTGCAAACCACACTCTTCTTTTATCACACAGTTTCTCACCCTGTCACTCAGATTCAGCCCTAACATACTCCTTAGCGACCGCATTTCTACTGCATTTATTCTACTCTCGTGCTTCTTCTGCCACACCCAACTTTCACTACCATACGTTAAAGTAGGGACTAATACAGCACTGTGAATTGCCATACGTGCCTTTTTTGACACATTCTGACTTTTCACAATAGAGTGTAGAGCCCCATTTACTTTATTTCCTGCATTCACTCGTCGTTCAATATCCTTATCATATCTCCCATCCCTGCTGAATACACATCCCAAATATACGAACTCATCCACTTGCTCAATTAACTCTCCTTCTATTCTTATTTCACATACCGTTTTACTTTCATCTCTTTCAAAAACCATCACTTTCGTCTTACTTGCGTTCACTTTAATTCCCCTTTCTTTTAATGACCTGTTCATTAATGTAACCATCATTTGCAACTCGGCCGCCGACGACGCAAGTATGACTTGATCATCGGCGTACAAAAGGCATTTGATGGTTAACTCATCCATTCTTCAACTTTCAAATATTCCAAACACCTGTCCATAAATAGGTTGAACAGCCACGAGGAAGCTACACAGCCCTGTCTGACACCTTTATGGATGCCAAACCAGTCCGAGTAGACCCCGTTGATTCTAACACAAGCACTCGAGTCCCTATACAGAGACTTTAATGCCTGTATCAAACCAGCGCTCAACCTAAATGCGTTCAGCGTTTGCCATAACACATCCTTGTCCACTCTGTCATAAGCCTTTTCCAAGTCCATGAACGCACAAAAAACTTTTTGGTTTTTCGCCAAAAACTTCTCCGCGATCATGCGCATGGAAAAGACTTGATCTGTACACCCCATTCCCTTTCTAAATCCCGCTTGCACATCCCAAATTTTTTCATCAGTTTCTTTCATAACTCTTTCAATTAGTACCTTAGCATACAGTTTTCCCACAATGCTAAGAAGGCTGATACCACGGTAGTTTTTACAGTCCTGCTGCGACCCTTTTCCCTTATATATTGTGACTATCACGGCTTTGCACCAGTCTACCGGTACCCGCTTTAGTTCCCAACATAAATTAAACAAGGTGCACAGCAGGCCTGCCACCACGTCTTCTCCAGCCCTTAGCATTTCGAGTGAAACTCTATCATATCCGGCTGCCTTACCTACTTTGATGCTTTTCATTACTTTCATTATTTCATCTATACTTATCTCCCTATCTCTTTCATCTTCTTTCGGAATTTCTATTTCATTTAGTTCACACTTCTCCTCACTCATAAATTCGCTTTCAAAATATTCCTTCCATCTCTTTAGACTCAACACTTCATCATTCAGGATACAGCCATTCTCGTCTCGTATCGCATTCAATCTAGGCTGTTTTGAAAGTCCCCTGGTATTTCTTACGAGTTTCCAGAACATTTTAATATTTGCCTGGAAGTTATCCGATTTTCTTCTATCATTCTTATCCGTTCTTTCTTGCTTTTTCCTTTCAACTAATTCTTTTACTCTCTTATTTAAACGTTTAAACTCTGCCTTTTTTCTTTCATTCTCATCTAATTATTGTTAGTGGCAGGATATTAAATTGTTGTGTTGTCTTTTAGAAGATTTACACAAATAAAATAAACACAACAAAATTTCGTTTACTTTGCTGTCACTCTAATGACTGACTTGACATTGGAAGAATTCTATCAAGAGAAGCCATAAAGTAAAGAAGAAGAAAACTAAAACTAACAAACTTAAATTATCGTACAGTTGTACTCCTTGTGGTATCGTGCCTTGCTTAATGGCCTTGTGCTTAGCGTTTGAGCGAGAAAAGAACCAGCTCTCACCAGCGGCGACGAAAAGTATGTAGACAAGTATAATCTCAGAGATTATATATTAAAAGTTATTTTATGGCGTATTATCTTATTTCATATTCTTTTAAAATTTTAAAACTTCTTGATGGCTTTTGATGCGGATTCCTCCATTATTTGAGGAAATTTTTTGAATAAGGTTTTAATGCTGTGATTAAATCGGAAATACAAAAACACCACACATAGAAGGTGCGACTAATTGTTAGTTTTAGATAAAAGTAAAACAAAATCTAAAACAGACAATATACTGAGCTGACCTTTTAAAGAGAATCTAATTCGACTCGCGTGCAATTGCTCAGCGGGTCTCCACCCCTTTGTTGTCGACACATCACACATTCGAATCAAACGGTTTGCTTCGTAATGCTTACAGTTAAAGAGTCGGATAATTTACTAATGTCTGTACTTAATCTGCATCGTGGATGTTTTGAAATCAAAAGTGAATATGGCTTTTATTATTCTAATACAGTACTCGTTCGAGTCAGAAAGTTGGGAGTTAGAGGACAAGAGATACATCACCACTTTCCACCTATCTATTCATTCATAACACCCTCTAGAAAGTTCATCTCACTTCTGAACATGAGGCATATATTGCCTCAGCGGGGAAATGCCTGACTTAGGCCTCCCCATAGATTGCCTTATATATGTTTCGTGTATTATGTAATTACGACATCTTCTCGTCAGGTATGCCTCAAAACCTGAAAACTAAGTTGTACAACCAGTGCGTGTTGCCAGTGATGACCTACGGGACCGAGACGTGATCCTTCACCGCTGGCCGTATGAGGACGCTAAAGTCGCTCAGCGAGCTATGGAGAGGGCTACGCTCGGGGTTTTTCTGCGTGATAAATTTAGAAATGAGGATATCCGCCATAGAACCAGAATGACCGACATAGCCCAACGTATTAGTAAGCTGAAGTGGCAATGGGGCGGATATATAGCTCGAAGAACCGACAACCGTTGGGAAAAAAGGTTCTCGAGTGGCAGCCTCTTTCCGGTAGGCGAAGAGTAGGGCGATCCCCCACTAGATCCCCCACTGGATGCAGGTGACTCAGGACCGTGCTTTGTGGCATACCTTGGGGGAGGCCTATGTTCAGCAGTGGATTTGTGAAGGGCTGTAATGATGATGATGATGATGATAGTATGCTAGCGGTTGACACGAAAATGGAAATAAAATGATTTAGGATATTAAGTATAATACTTATTATCATTGATTAACATTATGTACATACTTATAAGTTAAAAAGACATTTATTGAACACACAACACAAATGTATGTAAAAGTTTTGTAAGTGCAATAATTGGATCTGTAATTTGTCGGATTACAAGGATTTTTTGTTAAAATTTCCGAACTATAGGGGCTTGGGGTAGTTACCATATAATCCGACAAATTTGATAGTCCGACACTGCCCCACAAAATGTTTGTCGGATTACCGGGGGTCCACTGTATTTATTATATGCTATTACTTTGATCTTGTCCACTCAAAAGGGTCAAAAAACTAAGCTGGAACCAATTTCTTCATCATCAGCCGATTAAAAAGTGCTAAATAGGATAAAATAATTTCTACATAATAGCTTCTGAAATCAGGGACTTTATTTCTTCTACGCACTGTCTTAGCAGACTGTTAGTTATTACGTGGCAGTTATTTTCTTGCGTTTATTTTTATAGTCTGCTTTCACTTTTAATAAAAATGGAAACACGAGCAAATGACTTCTTAGTTTATTATCTTACTTGCACATTTTTGAACAATAAAATCTAATTTAACTTTTAACTGCTTTATTGCGAACGAGGAAGTAAGCCGAGGCAGCCAAACGTCTGGTGGTATGATGATTAAATGGTGAGAGAAAAATTAAGTCATGCGATTCCCGCGCACGCTCTCCGCAATGCCATGAAATGCTGGCTACTTTGCGGCTCTGTTTGACGAACTCTAATGCGATAGCAGAATTTATTCTTTCATCTTACGGTGACGTAGAAAGTGCAATAGCAAAAATAAATGAAGATTTGCATCACGTCTCATTATGGTCAGAAGCAAATACACTTGTGCTTAATCCATGCAAATCCGAATTCATGCTGTTAGGGCCAAAGGGACCTAAATTAGGTGTTCTGATGGACGAGGGTATTTGCTTTGTATTTGAGATCACACGCTAATGTTTTTATAGCGTCAAAGTACTACACCAAATGCGTGATTATCTCAGTGAGTGTTCGTCATCGGCTATACGAGTATGAGTCACGCGCACTTCCAAGGCTTGGTTACGCAGATCCTGTGTATAGTCCTAGATTATTTGCTTAAACAAATAGGTCATCACAAAGAGTCCACAATGCACATATAGCTCTAACTATCAGTTCGGATGCATTAAATCAGCAAGAACCCTTTTAAAATTTTACAATTATATGTATGTGTATATATGTATATATAGGTATGTATGTGTATATTTTGACTTTTATACATATACATGAAAACGTATATTTTGAGTGAATTGTTCATTTATTATTTTTAAATGGAAAGAAAAGAAAAGAAAGAACCAATATTCATCGGGGCTCCGCTGAAAACCAGCGCTACTGCAGTACCTGTAGTAGCACATGCTGAGTCGGAATTCTTTTTAGCGTCACCTCACTCTCTTGCTGAGATTTGTTTTTAATTATACATCCCTTCTTGTACCTTGTAAAGTTTCGGGAGGGATGCTTAAGATTTTTACAAAAGAAAAAATATGTCTCGATTATATTTATTATCTGTTTCATTACAATAATTTATTAAAACTAATTGAGCGCAATACTGACTTCCTTAACTAAGTGCTTACATTACTACAATGAGAACTATAATGAATATGTCTAAATGCTACGGCTTTTATACGTACTGTATGACAACGTGGTTTGACCAGCAACAACGATTATACAGTGGAGTCAGCGTCTTCTCTAACATTACGTCGTCTACAGTGTCTTCATAACATGTTTTCAGTAATCTACGAGGGCGGCACTGAAAATTTCGGGAATCAAGAAAGTGACACAACATTACTATTTAAAAATGTATTTATTGCTTTTCGAAGTATTCTCCGCGAAATTTGACACATTTTTCCATACGATGGAACCAATCATTGAAGCAACCATTCCATTCGGAAGTTGGGGTCTCCAAAATGGCCATTTTGTAGACGTCCACAGCTTTTTCAGGTGATGAAAATCTCTGTCCACGCAATTTATTCTTTATTTTAGGGAAAGTATAGAAATCATTAGGGCTTAGGTCGGGGCTGTACGGTGGATGGTCTAATAATTGTATGTTTTCTTGCTCTAAAAACTCTTTTTGTTCTGTGTGCGGTGTGAGAACTCGCATTGTCGTGATGGAGGATGATGTGGCGGTTGCAGTTCTCTTTACGGAGTTCAGAAACGACCTGTGGCAAACAAATGCTAGCATACCATTCTGCATTAACCGTTCTTTGTCCCTCAAGAGGAATAGTCGTAACATGGCCGATTTTGGAGACAAACGTGGCCACCATTTTTTTTGCAACACTCCGTGAACGAACAATTTTTGTTGGCTTTAACTCATTTTCGAACACCCAAACTCGTAACTGGTTTTTTGTTTCGGGTTCGTACGCGTATATCCAGGATTCGTCACCTGATACGATGTTGTATACAGCATTTGAGGATCCTGCGTGGAATCTTTCGAGAGTTCTGACGCACCAAGTAACGCGAGCCGATTTTTGCTCTTCACAAAGCGAATGTGGTATCCATCGGGAAAACAACTTTTTTACACCTAACTGTTCATGCAAGATTATTTTATTTGACTCATGCCAATATCCAAAGTTGCTTGAATATCGCGGTATGTCACATGTCGATCTTCCTCAATCAGCTTACGCACAGCATCAACGTTTTCTTGGGTGACTGCAGTTTTTGGACGACCTTGACGGGGATCATCACTGAGCTTGACACGTCCACGTTGAAATTCAGTAAACCAGCGATAAATTGTGGTTTTGGATGGGGCTTCATCACCAAATGCAGAAATCATCCGGTCAACACACTGGTTTTGTGTTAAACCACTTCGAAAGTCATAATAAATCATCGCTCTTGAATTTTCTCGAGTCAATTCCATTTTCTCAACAACTAAACAAGTTTGACAAAACCTTGTGACAAGACCGAGAATCTTTTTTTTAAATAAATAAATGGTATTCGATTTTTAAAACCAAGGAGTTTTCAATTAAAAAGATTTTAATAGGACAGGAACAGTGGAAATATTCCATTCCCGATACTTTTAGTGCAGCCTAGTAATAGCAGAAGCTTCATTCGCACAATTCGTGATCAAAATGTTGTTAAATTATGGCTACTCGCAATTATTATGTTTACGAGTAATCTAATGTCAAAAGCTTAGTCAGGGCAATTTGAGATCAACAGGTTGTTATGATATTATGGCTTCTTCCACACTGTATATAACTACCTTGTAAGTTTTTTTTATGTTATTATTTACTTCGAAATGTACGTGAGTGTATTGATGTCCGATAAAACATATGTCCTCGTCTATGTCTGTCTTGATTTAATTCGCCACAACACTCAAACACGAAGAGAAAAATCACTGTCTGCTTACCTTGTAATCTTCATCAGCGCTCATCTGCTCTCGCGTAAGTCCAGACAGGTAGAGACATTTCCAAAAGTGGTTGCCAGGGCCTGCGTAATGATGTCCTTTGTACGCCGCAAACAGTCCCGGGTTGATACCGATCTGAAGATGCAAAGGACAGTGCGTGTTGATTAATGTTACAGTAATAAAGTACCATCATTGAGTTGTGAGTGAGTGGAAACAAGTTCATGTTTATAGGGATGTTGGGAAGTTGATGTTAAGCCTGCTGAGACGAGATTGTTCAAAATATGTAAATTATCATAGAGCATTGTCAGTAAGGCGAAATGATGTATTATTTGTCATAACGATATTCCGAGATATAGCAACAATGACGAACGATCATACAGATTGCCTGATAATAACCGGATGTTGACGTGTTCTGTAGCCAAAACGACTTGATTGATTTTAACGTATTATGGGGTGTCGTAACACTCGTTTTAAGCCAGTCCAGACTACGCAGATACGATAATATGTATACGTAATGATACATTCACTCGAAAACCTTCAAACTTACTAGAAACTGACTAGTGTTTTGTGGATCCTATTGTTTATAAAGATTGTTACCTACAATGAATTTGCAATGACTGTCTAGCAAATCTAGAAACAATATGCTTCTAGATTAGCTCGTTAGAATAGGATTCAGATTTTGATTTTGATACAAATGTTACATTAGCAATTACTAAAAACGAAGAATTTGAACAGAACGTTATATAAAGCTTCAAAAGGACCGAGGCTAATTTAATTGTAGTTTTGCAGCGACCATTCTGTATTTATTTGCAGGTAAAATCCTGTGCCATATTTGTATCTGCAGATGTTATCTGCTGATATATTCGTATGAGCAGATAATATCGTCACAATCTTTCGATACATGTCGGTGCTTACAGACACTTAACGATAAAATATAAATTATCTGCACTATATGTGTTAGTTCATAAAATTTCATAGAAAGCGATATTGAAAGATATGCGCACGGATACAGATCTCTTATCGTATCTGCGTAGTGTGTAGCTCGCTTTACTTGTGGAAGTGACAGAGTAAAACATTTGAATTTTTCTCTTTTCAGTAAACTTTTTATACTGTCGGGCGTCTTATTTAGTTTCAACTATTAGACATTTTTACTGCAAGGATAATTTTCTATTATAAAAACGGTTACCTTCGGGGTAAAATTTGAAGACCGTAACGAAGAGTAAATGTCTATAAAGAGCGTTTGCTAGTACGATAACCGATCAGCCCTTTCACAATTTCGGAAAGCTCAAGACCAGTGGATAATATAACTATAACTTACAAGTTGATATATAACTAAATTAAACATGATCTTCGGTGTTTTATCGCTTTTTAAGATTTAAAATATAATATTCTTAACCGACATCACGCGAAGTTCTCTTTTTCTATGTGCTCTGACAGAAAAATAAAGTTAGAGGAACCACTGCGTACGTTACAAGTGACACAAAAACCATGCTCAACTGACACGCACACATCTTTGTTCTCTCTTTCTTGTCAGCCTGTAGAAAACTGCTGGACACACACGCACACGCACGCGCACACGCGCACACGCACACGCTCACGCACACGCACCCGCACACGGCCCACACGCACACGCACACGCACACGCACACGCACACGCACACGCACACGCACACGCACACGCACACGCACACGCACACGCACACGCACACGCACACGCACACGCACACGCACACGCACACGCACACGCACACGCACACGCACACACACACACACACACACACACACACACACACACACACACACACACACACACACACACACACACACACACACACACACTTGTACGCAGCGTTCCGTCGTTCAGCGTTTTTTCAGAAACTACACGAGTGTTTTATTGTTATGATTCCTTCATTAGTTAATCTAAATAAGTACTTTTGTTTTATAGAATACAGTGACCAACGAATCACAATGCAGATGCGTTGTTACAGCTGAGGATAAAAATGCGGTCTTCGTTTTTCTACACTCACCACACGAAACACAGCAGCATTGAGCTGCTATTTTAGGCTTGTATTCTGTGAGAGCACGTGACAATACATCTGGATTTTGATTCATAATCGAGGATAAATGTAGATGTTAATGAGCCCCAGCATCCAGTTACTATTAGATGGACTGTGTGCACGTTTATCACCCTTATATTACAATTGTGTAACTCTGGGACTCTAAAACTTGTTGATATTGCAAATCGATCAATGACTAGTGCATTCACAGAATTATAAACTAGTGCCCTAGCACTAAGCGTAAGTTCGCATGCGGTGCGCGCCGCCTGATGACGCTAATGGTGAGTTATTGCCGATTCGCGTCCACGGTACAAATGCCGCAGTTGCTTGATTGACGCATTGCTGACCCGTTACTGAGTAACATCGAATTATATTTAAGTTAAAACTTAAAAAGCGGTAACATGTTAGTAGTTACGATCGTCAGTTACTACGTGTTGAAAGATTCAACTACTAATTAGCTTTTACGTTTTTACCTTGCTAGGTGCTAGTTCGATATTTCATAATAACTCTAATTCGACGCGTCAGCACTATAAAAATTGTTAACCGGAATTACAAGTGTTGATCTAACTGATTTACCGTAATCAACAGTCTTAACAGACGGATTAGTAATCGTAGTACCGAATATCTTAATTCCCATTTCACTACTCCACTACGTCGGTCTAAGCATATAGTTTTACGTGGTAGAGCCTCGCTGCAGCTATGATTACTGCATTACTGCAGCTATGATATACTAGATTCAATTCGGCTCGACCGGGGTAGAACCATGCTTTCACAGAATACGAGCGTGAAACAATAGCTTACTGCTGCTGTGTTTCGTATGTGAGTGTGGAAGACCGAAGACTATTTTCGCTAGAAACGAGGCATCAATACTAGCAATGCTATTATGCTATCAACGTAACTAATATTCCCTTTTAACCAGTCCTGGTAAGTTTAGAATAATTGTGATAGGTTAGATTAGTAGATGATGTCAGTAGTCGAATAGCGGACCGTGTGCACTTTCGTCAGCCTTATTCTATATAAAAAGACGTTACGCAAGACGTGAAGGACCGGCGCGTGGATGCAGCATCAAAGGTGCACACGTCTGGTAATGTGATCCTTAACCCTAACTTGGGTGGACCAAGTTAAGCCAAATCCTATAAAGACGAGGGAGGCCTGTTTAGCGTCGGTCTTTTACGAGCTGTTGAAAAATTATGAAATAGAACACTGCCGTCTATTAGAGGTCATGGAACATTTTTGCCACTTTTCATAATTTCCTCTGACGGCACCCACATCCCACAAGGGTATAAAGAGCCAGTATAAGTAAAGAGAAGAAATTAAAACGATTTGTGAAATAAGAATAGAAAGGGAGTTGATCGAGCAAGTAGATGAGTTTGTATATTTGGGTTGCGTATTTAGCAGGGATGGGATATATGATAAGGATATAGAACGACGAGTGAATGCGGGAAATAGAGTAAATGAGGCCCTGCACTCTATTGTGAAGTCAAAATGTGTCGAAAAAGGCACGTATGGCAATTCACAATGCTGTGTTGGTCCCTACTTTAACGTATGGTAGTGAAAGTTGGGTGTGGCAGAAGAAGCACGAGAGTAGAATGAACGCAGTAGAAATGCAGTCGTTAAGGAGTATGTTAGTGATGAATCTGAATGACCGGGTGAGAAATTGTGTGATAAGAGAAGAGTGTGGTTCGCAAGATTATGTTGTGACCAGGATTAAGAAAGGAATGCTTCGGTGGTTTGGTCATGTGGAAAGAATGAATGAGGAAAGAGTGACAAAGAAAATTTATGTTGCAGAAGTGAATGGCAGAGTCGGAAAGGGACGTCCTAGGCGAAAATTTATCGACCAAATTGGCGATTTATTGAAAACGGGCCAAGTTAGGAGTACCCTTAACCGACGAGCATGTATGCGTAGGTATATGGATGTGAAGGAGGCGAGAGAGGTGTGTCAGGATCGTGCCAAATGGAAGTCTGTAGTCTCTGCCTACCCCTCTGGGTGACAGGCGTGAGTGTTTTTTGTTTTTTTTTGTAAGTAAAGGCTATGGGGAATTTTATCTTAGTCTCGACAGGCGACACAGCACCTGAAGCCTTTGTTTGAAGTTGGTTGCCGGTGTTAATGGACTGGAGCAGCCCCTGACTATGGTGGACTGTGAGTTCGTTTGTCACTTGTTTTATTAAGAAAAAAATAACGTGTGCAGTTCACACGCGTTGGAAGTGAAACCTTCAGATAGCTAAACTTCGAGAGAATGAGACGAATGCACAGTATCAGGAGTAGGATAATTGTAGGGTTCATTTATTATAATATTATTACCATGCTTTTTTTTATAGGAGAGGGGGCAAACGACTTGAAGGTCCCTAAATCGTGTCGTAAGTTTAAAAATTATTCTATATTTAATTCTACATAATATTATATTACATAATAGACAAACTCCAAGTTTTCAATTTTATTATCATATATAGGTACTTAAATATTTTCTTATCTCCAAATTTCGTCTTTAATCCTTACACAGATCACATTCATAATCTCTCATACGTAATAGGAAACACTATATACTGTATTTTATCTTATTCTCTCGCAGGCTTAGTACCACAGAAATAGTAGTAAGTTGTATTATTACGATTTCTGTGCTTAGTACTATAGATTTAAACGTTTGTCTTTTATTAGTGTTTCGTTTCATAGATTTTCAAATCGATTTACGATTTTAAAGAAATATTTATGTAAAAATGTTTAAATTTCTATCAGGGGGACTGTAAGTTCCTTTGTCACAAGGTTTATCAAGAGAAAAAGTAAGTAATGCGTGTCGATCATACTCACAATGATGATGTCGAGGTTCTCGGCGAGGTGGTCCGGCAGCGTGCGGCGCGCCACCTCCTCCTCGCTCATGCCGTTGAAGCGGTCGTGCTTCTTGCGCTCCTTCACTGGACGCACGATGCCCTCCACGCCCTCCGCTTTTAGCTCCAAGCTGAAGGCAACACAGACACGGTCACTGTAGAAACTTAAAGTTAAAGTTATAGTGTCCCACAGCTGGGCACAGAGAGGGTTTTAGGGAAAGAAAATGTCGGCCGCACTGCCAATGCTTGTTGGCGAACTTAACATGTCTTCGAAGTATTATTTTTCATATTTCTTAAACATGCAGGTTTCCTTAGGGTGTTTTCCTTCATCGCCGGGAACGTGGCAAATCAGCACTTAAAGATGCAATTAACAATTTACCGGCGTACTGCGAAATTTACAGCGAGCGTTTAGCTCCTGTGCTCTTATGCAGCACTATAGAAACCTTATGGTATATAATTGTAATATATAAATATTTAAATTTACAGCGAGCGTTTAGCTCCTGTGCTCTTATGCAGCACTATAGAAACCTTATGGTATATAATTGTAATATATAAATATTTAAATTTACAGCGAGCGTTTAGCTCCTGTGCTCTTATGCAGCACTATAAAAACCTTATGGTACATAATTGTAATATATAAATATTTAAATTTACAGCGAGCGTTTAGCTCCTGTGCTCTTATGCAGCACTATAGAAACCTTATGGTATATAATTGTAATATATAAATATTTAAATTTACAGCGAGCGTTTAGCTCCTGTGCTCTTATGCAGCACTATAAAAACCTTATGGTATATAATTGTAATATATAAATATTTAAATTTACAGCGAGCGTTTAGCTCCTGTGCTCTTATGCAGCACTATAGAAACCTTATGGTATATAATTGTAATATATAAATATTTAAATTTACAGCGAGCGTTTAGCTCCTGTGCTCTTATGCAGCACTATAAAAACCTTATGGTATATAATTGTAATATATAAATATTTAAATTTACAGCGAGCGTTTAGCTCCTGTGCTCTTATGCAGCACTATAGAAACCTTATGGTATACAATTGTAATATATAAATATTTAAATTTACAGCGAGCGTTTAGCTCCTGTGCTCTTATGCAGCACTATAGAAACCTTGTGGTATACAATTGTAATATATAAATATTTAAATTTACAGCGAGCGTTTAACTCCTGTGCTCTTATGCAGCACTATAGAAACCTTATGGTATACAATTGTAATATATAAATATTTAAATTTACAGCGAGCGTTTAGCTCCTGTGCTCTTATGCAGCACTATAGAAACCTTATGGTATACAATTGTAATATATAAATATTTAAATTTACAGCGAGCGTTTAACTCCTGTGCTCTTATGCAGCACTATAGAAACCTTATGGTATACAATTGTAATATATAAATATTTAAATTTACAGCGAGCGTTTAACTCCTGTGCTCTTATGCAGCACTATAGAAACCTTATGGTATACAATTGTAATATATAAATATTTAAATTTACAGCGAGCGTTTAACTCCTGTGCTCTTATGCAGCACTATAGAAACCTTATGGTATACAATTGTAATATATAAATATTTAAATTTACAGCGAGCGTTTAGCTCCTGTGCTCTTATGCAGCACTATAGAAACCTTATGGTATACAATTGTAATATATAAATATTTAAATTTACAGCGAGCGTTTAGCTCCTGTGCTCTTATGCAGCACTATAGAAACCTTATGGTATACAATTGTAATATATAAATATTTAAATTTACAGCGAGCGTTTAGCTCCTGTGCTCTTATGCAGCACTATAGAAACCTTATGGTATATAATTGTAATATATAAATATTTAAATTTACAGCGAGCGTTTAGCTCCTGTGCTCTTATGCAGCACTATAGAAACCTTATGGTATATAATTGTAATATATAAATATTTAAATTTACAGCGAGCGTTTAGCTCCTGTGCTCTTATGCAGCACTATAGAAACCTTATGGTATACAATTGTAATATATAAATATTTAAATTTACAGCGAGCGTTTAGCTCCTGTGCTCTTATGCAGCACTATAGAAACCTTATGGTATACAATTGTAATATATAAATATTTAAATTTACAGCGAGCGTTTAGCTCCTGTGCTCTTATGCAGCACTATAGAAACCTTATGGTATATAATTGTAATATATAAATATTTAAATTTACAGCGAGCGTTTAGCTCCTGTGCTCTGCGTATGCAGCACTATAGAAACCTTATGGTATATAATTGTAATATATAAATATTTAAATTTACAGCGAGCGTTTAGCTCCTGTGCTCTTATGCAGCACTATAGAAACCTTATGGTATATAATTGTAATATATAAATATTTAAATTTGATTCGCGACCGTAACGAGTATGTATTTTTACGGAATTATCACCATTATAATCATCAATACAACCCTCTAAGTTCGTATAATCCCATTGTATGACAGAAGAACTCTTTCAAAGTATGCCGATACTCGCGAACTTATTCAGTAATACCTATTTCCCACAGATGCGTTGTCGCCCCTGAGGACTAAAATGGAGTACTTCGTTTCCAGTAAAAAGGTCTCCGGTTCTCTACACTCACAATACAAAACACAGCAGCGCAGGTATTCTGTGAGAGCGTTTTGCTCTCCCGGTCGATCCGATCCATTCGTGCCACAACCGTAATATAGCTGCAGCATAGCTCTACCACTGTTAAATTAATGGTCCTAGCAAATAAGCATTAATAGGTATGATTATGATTGCACTTAAGGGCTCATTGTAACAACTATAAGTTTTTTATTTTTTCATATCTTTTGTAAAGGAAAACAATATCCAATGTTTAAAAAATCATCATTACAGCATATCAAATGTAAGCCTCCCCAATAGATTGCCTCATATACATTTTGCGATAGCTTACATTGCCAAATAGTTGTAGTAGTTTTACCTACGTCAAATTCTCACTACTCACCCCGTGGGTTGACTGGTAGTGGCAGAGAATGTCTCAAGGCACTAAGTCCGCCCTTCGTATTCTTTTGTTTTCAGGAATGCAATAAACATTAAATTAATAAAAATGGAAAGCAGGCGGGCTAAAAACCGTGGTTTAACGTGGTAGAGCCATGCTTCAGTTATATTAGTAGTAAAGTTGTATCACGAATGGGACGGCTCGACCGGGGAAGGACCACGTTCTCACAGAATACCAGCGAAAAATAGTAGCTTAATGCTGCTGTATTTCGTATGGTGAGTGTAGAGAACCAAAGACCCTTTTTACTGGAAACGAGGCATTCCATCTTAGTCCTCACGGGTGATAACGCATCTTCAACCATTTACCATCAGGTGGACTGTGTGCTCGTTTGTCTCCCTATCCTATATAAAAAAAAAGTTTTTTCGTTATTTTCAGTTGTTTCGTGTTTCAGTTTCCCTCTATCGCTACTTAACACCCGGATCAAATGAGGCAGTGAATATTGTTTTTTTCACCTAAACACAGCGATGTTTCGTATTAAGGTTCTTCAAAATTAAATATAATAAAGAATATTTTTTTGTCTGACCCGTATACCTTTCTATGCCATTCATCTGATTACGATGAAACTTTGGAGTTGTGTGCGATGGTTCAATAAAAAACAGACATTGCAACGCATGCGGGACACAGTATACTATCTAAAAGGAAGGTTCATGCATTAGGTCCAAGTTGTCCTACACAGACCTGACTCGTTTTTTAAACTGACTTCAAAAAAAGAAGGAGGAACTTAATTTTACTGTATTTTTATATATGTTATCTCAGAACGTTTTTAGGTGAACAAATTTTGATGATTTTTTTATTTGATGGTGCTTCTCATGTAGTCTTGAAGAAGACTTGACCAGTAGTTTTTGAGTTATACTTAATAATGTGTATTTAATTGACTTCAACTATATTGATGATGTTCTCATTTTATTTATATTGAAGTCGGTTGTACAACATTTTTAAATTTACTGCTTGTTTAATTAGTGTAATTTTTGTTGCTCCTTCACAAAATTTTCCGAGGTAATTTAATACAATGCGGGTCTTTCGATGATAATTCATTCAGATGTTTAGGCTTAGTATATCGTTTTTTGAAACTACGCAAATGTATAGCGACAGGTAAAAAAACAACTATATTGAATACAACCTGCACGAGTACCAAAATGGCCGCACCCAATTCAGTCTACTAAAGCGAAGTACTTTTGTAGCCCACATTGATAGGTAGAAATGAGTGTATAGGATTGACAAACGACCACGAAATTGTATAGAATGTTGCCAATAACTCTAACGTAATAATATAATATCTTCTACAAGCGACTCGCCTTGATTTGTATTAATGTAGCATGATTTAAATTTTAAATAATTATGTGTTATAATTTTTTTATATAAAATTTAGTCGGAATCCTCTCTGGCATCGCCTTCTCTCTGTTCGTAACATTCCATCACAATCGGTTCAGCCATTAATAGCATTAGCCCAGACGATAATTTTTTCAAGTGAAAACTTCTTGGCTAACGTTGGCCACTTTTGGGATGGGGTAAAGTACTGAACTCGCGTGACCGTTACGCTCAGATACATAATGTAGGTGTATACAGATATATAAAGTTTTGTTAAGCTAACAACTTGTCAATTTTCACTTCTGCCGTGATCGCGCGGGCAGGAGACAAAAATTTTATCCCCCGATTATATCCACTAACATGAGACAAAATTGTCTCGTCCCTATGCCAGAGTTTAAGCGAACATGGGCCAGGATGGACATAATATCCACAGTAGACAAAAGAGGAGATAAACTTATCCCCGCGCGTACAAGGAAGCAAAGCGGAACCAACGCCTTGAAACTGTGACGCTCCCGCAGTCAAAATTCCATAAGTAGGTATAAAGTTAACGGATTTCATTGTTCTTAGTATCAAAATTTGCGTATTAACGAGACACATCTAGTGGTGTAAAAAAAGTTTTTTAGCCGCAATACAGTTTTTAGTCATTTTTCAAGTGAAAAACCGTTTTTTTCTCATATTAGCAAAACAGTAAATCGCGTGCGGCGCTCGATTAGTCTCCACAACCCGTTATTTTTTTTTGTGATATTTGTACGCCGCCTAGGGACACATCATCCTCCAATTTGGAATTTTTGGATAAAGGACACCTGAGTTATTA